TCCGTCAACCGCTTAGGACCTTTCGTCCCACATTTCGGAAACAAATATTACGTATTTCTTTCATTTTCTTTTCCATTTCATTCGATAAGGTTTCTTCTGCATCATACACTAGGTTTTTCTTTCCAATTTGCTTGATAAGATTCCCTAAAAATTTCACTGAAGTGCCACGCGGCCACAAAACGTAAAACATGCGTGGTTTCCAACGTATTAATAATGTTGCAGCTCAGTGTGTTTGATGATTATTTCTGATTTCGAACATTTAAGGTGGAAAGAAGCTCCCCCCGATTTTGCAATTTTCGATGACGCTCATGTAAGTAAGTTTCGAAAATAAGTGGCCATTGAATTTAGCTCAGTTTTGAAGGAATGTGAAAGGATCAAAATAGCCATGAAGGTTGTATATATAATGAAGGAATACAAATTGTTTGAAGAGGGTATCACTCCAGAAGAAGCACAAATTATTAAAAATTATTTTACCTCAACGTCAAAGGAAAGCCCCACTACTGCTGTGAGCGATCTGATATTCTTTTATGTTCCTTATGAAGCTCTACACTTTATTTGTACAAGGAAATCCAATGAAAAAACGCGAACGAAAAATAAAATTTAAAACCATGAGAAAGTACAGAAATTGGAATCGCATAAAAAAACAAAAGTGATAGAAGAGAAGGAAAAGTGAAGGAAAAGGGATACTTCTGTGTGGAATTGGTTCAACAGTCCTGGCGAACAAAGCCATCTATGCTTCCTTATTTTTCAGATCATTGCGTTAATTGACAAGTCTATTGGAAACGCCCTGAAAGTGATGAGAAATCATCCTGAACGCTTTGAAAATGAAATAAATAATGACGTGAATAATTTTATCAAAAGCAGCAGAAGAGTTAGTTTTCATGATTTTCTTTTGGCTGAAGTTCTTTGTCTGATTTTCATTGCTTTCAGGCAAAGCCGGTAATTATTAGATGCAATGATCGCATATGCCTGTATTCCTGACTGCTGGGGTGGAATTTACTACGATAAGACGGTCACAGCAAGGCTAGCAGAAAGCAAATCACAAACGGTTGATACACAAAAAACGGAAGCTGCTACGAAAAAGGAGGAGGAAGGCAAGAAGGGAACTGAAGCAAAAGAGCAAAAAGATCAGAAAGGGGAAGGATGCAGGAGGCGGGCCAGGAGATGGGAGGGCGAAAGAACGATTGGCACACAGATAAGGTTGACTCTAGGTAAATTATTCAGTCGGGTTTATATAATTTCTTCCAGCTGTAATCGTTAATTCTTGAAATCGGTTCATAATAATTTCAAAGGCCGACAATCAAAAATAGTAAGGGCCGAAGCACGAAGCCTCAATCAAGAAAGCCCCATCAGCGTATGGGTGGCGATTTCTCTTACAAGGAAGGTTTTCAGAGCAAGGTGCGCTTTTTGGAAACGGTTTAGTACATGTTGTAGGGACGCATGTATGGACCACAAAACCATGTTTCGTTTTCGCTGAACGGTTTTAGTAGTACCAAAGTGGTGAATAATACTCTTGATGGTTCAATCCCCGCGGCGACTAAATTTTGCAATCAAAGGTTGGCGGCCACTTGTTGGCTTCAAAATGGTCCTGACGATGAAGTTGAGATATGATTTTCTGCATACTTTCAGCGCCAGACTCATAGGCCCACCAAACCAAAGCGCTGCAACCCCAAATGCCGAATATTGCGCCGCCACGGGGGTAACCCCTCTAACCAGCTCCCTTTCATGCTTATTTTTGCCCGCTTGACTCACCTCTAACCATGCTCAGTCGCAAATCGAGACAATGCGTTTTGCCAGTCCTCTCCTACATGGTCCCACAATATGTAACAAAAGCGTTTTGAAAAAGTCGCACACTATACCCTGAATACGACCGTCTCCTCTTATAATGCGCTAGTTTGCAAGAAACGACTTGAATTCCGTAACAAGAAAGTCTGCATTGCAGAGAAAATTGGTGAAACCAGAGATCAGTTCTTATGCAGGGAAGTTCAAAAAAGACATTTTCCATGAGCCGCATCCCGTCGATTATTCCATCGCAATGATTTGACGTCGTCCAAATGATAACCTATATTTAGCAGAAACAAAATATGAACAAATAATCCATTCTATAATAGAAGCGAATCGCCTGCACTGTTCCCTCACAGTCACGAACTAACATGTCCATCTTGCCATTGTCGTTTTGAGCTATTGGACGACACGCTTCGCAGGCAAAGATTTAATCCGAAAAATCGGGTTGCCACTGATCCATTTTTGCCCATCGATTCAGTGTCCTTGTAGATGTCGACACCATGAAACACTGTCGATGTAGTTAAGCGTACACTCCTTCCCGACCTTTACGTTTGTATTTGCTTAGTACTGAACCCGGCCACCCTCTGAAAGAATCCCAGTTTTACAGGAGAGCTTTACGGAATCGCGGACAGGCGAGACGGTCACGAAAGAAACCGAAAAAGAAATCAAGAAGGAGGCGGCAAAGAAGGGGAGAAAGGTGACAAAGAGGTAGCAACAGTTCTTTTGCTTTAATTTATTTTTTGCAACTGTTACCTTCTCGTACAGCTTTGGAATATTTTAACAGGCACAAAAGCACAATATTTTACCCATTTTAGTACTAAGAACCAAGTTTCCTGAAAATCGATCTATTCTATAGCCGAGAGATGACCTCGGTTTCCATTGCTCTTCTGAGCGCTGCGATTTCAGTCATTGTTGAGACCCATCGATAACTGGAGAAACCCGTTCCTTTTCCTGTTTTCCACGTGCATCTTGGGAGTTCCATCAATGTTCTATAGCAATAACAGTAAGGGTCCTGCATATTCTAATTTTTTCTTGAAACTCCAACTTTCTCTCTTCGTAAAACCTCGGCATTGTTGTTATTGTGGTTATTCTTTTGTCAACGAGGTGTGTTAGGCGGAGACTTTTATTAGTGGCCTGACATTTCGAAGATCGTCTTCCTCAAAGGCCCAGTCCACCACCGCGAGCACAGAACAGCGCCACCAGGTCAGTTTAATAGTAGCACATAATAAGGATTTCCTAACCATAACTTAACATAATCTTAACTTAGTTACTAACCATAACTGACTTGGAGTGGCGCTGCTCTCTGCTCGCGTGGACGGGGCCTTTGAGAAAGACGATCTCGTCGAAGCGTCAGCCCAATAAAAGTCTCCATCTAACAACCTCGTTGGCAAAAAACATCTAATTTCTCTGTTGTAAATCTCAGCATTGGTGTGACTAATTATTCCTCTGCCAACTAGATTTTAGGTAGTTTTTTGTTAGTGGCGTGACGTTTAGTAAAAAAATTGGTGAAAGAGTTACTAACCATAACTGTCCTCGAGTGGCGCTGTTCTACCCTGCGATGGTGAGTGAGGCCTTTAAAGGCAAGAATCAGGATTAAATTGATGGGTTGATTCCACTCAAATGTGAAAGTAGGGATGGGAGGTGGACCGCCAATGGAGAAAAAGGAAAGAAAATCCTGAAATACACAGGAAATACGAGCATTTTGCTCTATGCTGTGGAGAAGTTCAAAAGACAGGCAGGGAGATGAGAGATAATGTGAGCGCGGAGAGTGGTAGAGAAGTCCGAGAAGAGAGAGCATAGCAGATCAACGGCGACGCAGACAAGATATCGAACGGTGGGCGGACCATGTTAAGTTTGGTGGAGTCTGTTAGAAGTTCATGCGCCTAGGGTCTTAGTAACGCGTTCGATGTAGAAAGGTGGCATTACCATTGCCCTCGCATACCCAGCAACTTCTAGCCATAGGCAAGGGCTTCTTGTAGGTGGGTCTGAGCCTCGAACTTGCCTTAACACGTTGACGACCGTGTGGTATGATGTCATACCACACTCTTTCGGCCACGTGGGACCGTGTGACATGATGTCATGTCACAGTCTTTTTTAAGCTGGTTTTCAAACATTTTAGGTAACTTATTTACGTGATGTATGCGCCATACTTAGGCATTGTTACAAAAGGCGTGGTCCCTGGAAAGAAGCTTCGGTTGATGGGCTATCGAGTTTTTCTAAAAATGTTTGAATAATGATCAAATCACAGGAATCGCTAAAATGGCCAAAATCGCATAATCGGAGACCTACCACACAAGAAAGATAACAAATACACACTTCTGAGAAAAAGGAGTTCTCGTGGGACCGTGTGACATGATGTCATGTCACACTCGCGCGGTCAAAATAATGCGCGCGGTCCCACACGCCAGACAGCGAAAAATAGCGCGGTCGTCAACGTGTTAAGGAGACGATCTATGGTCGTAACGTTCAGCGCCACTGATAAAAGCAGAGTCAACCCTGCGTTGCGCAGTTCGCAACGGCACGTTGAGAGATCCTCAACGCACGCTGTATGGGCGGAGACACAGACGGCTCGAGCATGCGAGTGTGAATGTTCGCGCGAGAGAACGTGTCTAATCGGGCGAAACTGCGCAACGTGGCCGTTGAAACTGCGCAACGCAGGGTTGACTCTGGTATAACCCTTACTGACAAAACCCCGTTGGCGTAAGAATACAAATAAGAACCACTAAAGAGTCGAGTGTTATTAGCACAAACAACCAGCGCCATTTGTTATACATTTCGACTATGGTCATCTTGCAACCAAATCACCATTCAGATCAACAATAGTAACTTTAAAGTTGGTCTCTCACACGATCTGAAAGGATAAAGCTTTGAAGTCATGGTTATGGGCTGCTTCTTCGCCTTCTGACATTAATGCTCACATGTACCAACAGTTATGGCCTGGCTGGGTAGTTTATCCCTTACTTAGCATCTCTGTGATGAATTGCGCATTGCGAAGTGCGGTAAGAAGCAGCATTTAACGGAGCACATCAGCAACTATAACATTAGCGAAGCCCTTTTTTTTATTAGGAGCAGCATGTATGCGCAACGGACCCAAAGGAAGTCGGCGAAAGAAGCTAAAGACAAGGAAGGCGAGAAAGCCAAGGAAGAAGAGGTTATCTCCAAAAGTGTCGCACAGGTGGTACTTCTGAATAACTGTATCAACTAGCGGATGTTCGTTACCGCTGTGAAAAACACGGCCACATCCCCACGGATTTTCATTTCTTTTTTAAATACAGGATTTCCATCTAACCTACTTCGCGAGTTAGTGTAAAGGCCAAAGCTCCTCAAATGCTCGCAGAGTTACGTAGGTTTTCCTTTCTTTCAGCCAATACTGTTTGAACGAACTTACAGCAAGAATACAATTTGTGCAGGGAGCAGCTCGCCGCTCACGCAAGGCTTGTGGGACCGAGGGTCCTATTCTCAGATATGCTCCAGCGCCCACGAAGTTAACGCGACCCGCAGCCCGCTCATGTCGGCAGCATATTGCATGCACGACCACGCCCACTAGTCTCTGACTGGCTGGCTCGTGTCTGCACGCAGTAACCTTTGTGGTGGTAGCCAATCACGGACGAGTGGGCGTGTCGGCAGCATATGCTGCCGACACTGCTGCGGCCCGTAACTCGGTGGTTTCTGCTGGAGCATTATCTGAGTAGATAGGCTAGACGACAGTGACGCATATCCTCCAAGCTGTACCTGCGGTCCGTCGCTTCGCCCACCACTGCTGACCCAAATATTATTTTTCACAGCGGATAAGTCTCCAATTGGTAAAGCTCAACGTCCTGTGGTCGCGTCGGCCATCCCGAATTGCTCGTTGGCTGGCTACCGCCAACGCGACGCGGACGCAATAGCGGTCGCTTAGATGCGAATCGCTCGATTCGCAAAGTTAACATTCGTTCTTCGAAGTGAGGGAGAAAGGCTTACAAAAACGACTGAATGTTAAGAACTCTCCATAAAGCGGAGTTGCTCGGAGTCGCAGATCTAGAGCCAACACCAACTGTCAGCTTCGAGACCGCGCGAAACAGCATTAGAGACAAAACAGCACATAGCAGTGCAAGTGCAGATGCAAACACCCATGTTGCGCGAACGGTGTCATCAGGCATCAGAAAACCTGTATAGCGCTTCTAACAGCTTGCGTCCCTTATCGCTATCTTCTAACT